GGGAACTTTGACCAGGGGCTTTTCTGGCCAAGCTCAGGGAAATCAAAGCCTTTCAATGAAGAAGGAAACAGCCGTTGGCTGTAAGTGCAGGCAGGGCGGCTGCCGGTGTGTGCCTGCCCGCAGCAGTTTCCCTGCACGGGGGTGTCAGTGCACCCAGCTATGCCTGGGGACGTCCCCTCCATCTCCCAGCGCAGGCAGACTGCAGGAGCCCAAAGCTCTGGGGCTGGGGGGAGAGGCAGGCAGCTTGGCTGGGTTTTGATTTTAATTGCCTCCTTGGTATTTCCAGCTTGATTGCCCACTGTCAGGGGCCAAGTGCTGCAAAGCGAGGGCTGTGTGTCCCCTGCCTGGCCCCACTGGTCCATTTTCCCAGCGAGGGGGTCGTGGGGAAACAGCCAGGAGCAAAGCAGCGAGCTTGGCATGCTTGGACCATCAGGAGGTGCTGAGGGTCCCTCCTTTTTCCAGGTGCTCCTGTCACCAGCAGCATCCCCGGGCAGGAGGTGACAGCAGTGAGGCCGCCTGTCCCGTTGCACTCCAAAGGCTCGCTTCCAGCCCCTCCGATCCCAAGCCGCATGGTTTGTTTTCTTTGAAACGTAGCTTTTCCCTGGGTACAGCAGTAATTGCAGTGTGTGGTGGTGGAGGCACTATGGGAAGTGCTTGGAGATGCCCAGCCCGTGGGCAGAAGGTTATCCTCGCTGGCTCCTCCATCCTGGTGCCCACTCCCTGGGGCCGGCACCGCATCCTGCAGGAGCTGAGTCTGCCGGGGTTGTCACCTCCACGGTGACAGGAGCCGTCGCCAGTGCAGCCGGTCCTGCTGTGGTCGGGTGCCTGGCATTCGTCCAGAGGGCTGCGCTTGTTAAAATTAAGGGCCTGTTTCATTATGGTGGATCCCCTTCTAATTATGCCGCACTATTTCATGTGGCTCATTACAGGTGATTCAAGCAGCGCTGGGCTGGGCTGATGTTGCTTTGCAGCCCCGTGAGCCCCGGGTGGCAGTGGCCCCATCCGTGGGGATAATCAGACCCCTGTGGCCCTTGGATGGGCACAGCATGGGAGGGGGCACCCGGGGGCCACAGCACTGGGGTTTGGGGCTGGCCCTGGGTGCTAAACCTGGGTCATCCTGCTGGTCCTCACTCAGCTCCTCCAACACATCTTTGCTGTGGGGCAGGAGGCAGCAGGAGCTCCTGGTCACAGCCTTGGTGTGGATCCTGGAGGGGCAGATGGGTCAGGACCCAGTGGCTGGGACAGCCTCATCCCAAAGGACTCCAAAGGGACCTGGTCCTCTTACCAGGTGATGAAAAGATGTGGTGGATGTAGCTTTTTCCCCACTTTTCACTTTAGGAGCCAACCCTAGTGGGGTCCTGTGTCCCAGCTGTACCCAGTTAACCTGGGCATCTTCAGCCCTCACTGGTTTAGAGGGAAACCTGTGGTGCCCGGTGCTGGCAGCCTCCACCATGAGGCCAGCCCCTGTGTCCTGCTTTGTCCCCTCTCTCTGTGCTGCAGGGTGGCCCGGGCAGATGGAGAAGGGTCCAGAGGAGGTAGGAGCTGGAGGAGCACCTCTGCTGGGGGAAGCCCCAGGGACTTGCCCTAGCAGGGCCCCCCTTCACCCCCAACCCATCCTCTGTTTTCCCTGTTTCAGTTTTGCCCTGCACCCCTTGCCCACAGCACCCATATGGGTCCTGCTGGAGGTCCCGCTGTGGGACAGCTGATGGTGCCCCTGGCACCTCACCTGAGCCATGACCCCCACCAGGGGGATGGGGCCCGTGGTCTGCAGCCGGTGCCGGGGGAGCCATCGGCTGCTGGCACCGTGGTGGTGATCCCAGGTCGGACAGTGCCGGTGTTAGCTCCAGCCTTTAGTTGATAGGGGCTGTGCCTGGCACTGGTAACGGGCATGGGAGCGGAGGGGCTGTGGGGACCAGGGGGGGGACATGGCATGGGCAAGTGGGTCCTGCATGGGATCCTGGGTGTTAGCAGGGGTGCAGGGTGCTGCTCTGGCACAGGGCATCTGTGGAGCACCCCCCAAAGCACCCCCAGCCCATGTTTCTGCCCTCCCAATCTTCCCCCCACCCTGCAGCAGCCCCAGGGGAGCAGGAGCCCATCCTCCTGGCTGCCCCACCTGCCTGGGACTGAGAGAGCCTGGTGGGGTGCTGGTGGGGTGCCTGCCCTGCCCTGGGGGGCGATTCAAGGGCCAGGGGATGGCTCTTGCAGTTCCCACTGCTGGTGTCCAGCTGGCAACCGCCACACCTCTGCCACAAGCCAGGGCTCAAAGGGCTGGGCAGCGGGCAAGTCTTGCAGCAGGCAGTGATGCTCGCCTTCGGGTCACCTGGTATGTTGGCTCTTGGGGTGCCCAGCACGTGGGCGCAGGGCTGCAAAGCGCTCCCATTGCCACCTCCCCCCTGGGGTGGGACCAGCTCCAGACCTACTTGTGCCTCTTTATTAGGGAGCATTTGTACATTTATAAAACAGTGACGCACAACTCTCACGTTCACCAGCACGAGGGCGTTTGCACCGGCCCTCTTGCTGCGGTGCCTGTGCCCACCCGCTTGGGGCTCGCTGCTCCCGCTGGCAGGGGGGGAGCCACATCCTGCAGCCCCCCGCCCGCTGCAGGAGACCTTGCTGTTAGGGCTGGCTGGGACAGCCATGGCAGGGCCCTGGGCCAACGCATGGCACCCCTCTGCGGACACCCCTGCTTGCAGGTGGGTGTGGGGGGACCCCACAGGAGGGTGGGGAGCTCTAGAGGGGCTCCCTGGGGAGCACTGCTGTGCCTGCCCTGCCGGGAGGCTTGCTGTGTGTGTCCCCACGCAGGGGGACACGGGGCACCACACAGCCAAGTGCTTGCACCAACGAGGAACACGTTTCCACGTGGGTGCATATTCTGGGGGGCTGTTGGGCCACCTGTGCCCAGAGCCAGGGCTGCCGGGCACATCACCCGGCTGCTGCTCCGGTCCCTGCCCTGCATCTCCCACGTGTGGGGCCTTGGGGGCTGCAAGGATGGTGGCTCCTCCTGCATCTATGGCTTTGGCCACGGCACGGCATGCCCATGTTCTGTCTGTGGGTGCTGGGGACGGGAATCAAACCGGCAGGGCCAGGGACTGCCTGGTTCAACCCCAGCCTCCCCCTGAGGTCCCAAATTCCTGTCCTGGGGTCCCCCTCTGCCACATCTGTGTGCTGACAGGGGCTTTGCCAGCCTGCCCCCGCCCTGAGATATTTTGGGGCGGTTTGCCCTGCGCTGGTGTCTGCTACAGTGGAGGGGGAGAAGGCAATATCCGACAGGACAGGGGGAGGTCTGTGGGTCCTGCCGTGGGCCCTGCCATCAGTCTGGGGGAGGCACAGCGGGTGCTCAGCCCCCGGGGGCAGGAGCATGGCAAGGGGAACGTGCACGGTGCAAAAGAGTGGCGACAGGCAGGGGAGCAAGGGCTGGACTCCCCTGAGCCACCTGGGCTGTGCCAGGCGGCTGCGACCAAGGGATGAGCTGCTTTGGGCAATACCTGGGCAAGGAGAGG